TATGAAAATAATTAACTAGTTGTTGAGTAAAGAGTGTTAAATCAGTAAAAAATTTTCAAAGAATCAAATTATAACAAAGAAGAAATTAAGTGTAAGCAAACACAAAGTGAAAGTATAAGTTAAGACAGACGAATATAATAATTTAATAATTTCTAAAGTTGCTGAAAAAAAAAAAAAAAACTAAAATTTGATTCATAAGAGTTTAATTACTTATACCATTAAGTTAAGTACATTGAATTGTTTATTTGTAAGATTCAATTTTAAGCATTGTGAAAAGCGAGCAACGACGATAACAAAATGAACAGAGACGAAATTTTGGCGTTAAGAGTTAACGAATTAAAAGAAAAGTTATCGGCACTTAGTTTGGTAACAACAGGTAGAAAGCAAACTTTGCAAGACCGACTTTTAGAATATTATGGGTTGCAGGTTGACGATAATGAATCTGAGTATGACGATGCTGGGTCGGCTCATACCCGTCAAAGCTCACCAATGCAGATAGTCCGAACAACGTTTACATTACGCGACATTGAAGATTCACTCTCGCAATTCAATGGGTCAAATCAACCAGCTGTTGAAAAATGGATTCATGAATTTGAAGATAACGCTTTGGCAGTGCAGTGGAACGACCTTCAGAAATTTATTTACTCAAAGCAATTACTAAAAGGTGCAGCAAAATTATTCGTGCGCAGTCAGCATGGAATTTCAGATTGGATATCTTTAAAGCAAGCGCTATTGGAAGAATTTGGGACGGTAGTTTCATCAATAGACGTCCACCGCATGTTGCGGAATAGGCGTAAGCGTCAAGGTGAAGATTATATAGAATATCTGTATAGCCTTATGGAAATTGGCGGACCTCTTAACCTGGATGACTCAAGCCTGATAGAATATTTTATTGAGGGAATACCTGACTCGAGGAGTAACAAAAGTAATCTGTATCAGGCCAAGACTCTGCAGCAACTAAAAGAACAAATCAAGGTATATGAGAAAATCCGTAGTAGTCGCCCTCAAGCGTCTAATACGGGTAGGATGCATAACGATACCGAAGAAAAGAAACCTGACTTGAATAAAGAACGAATTAAGAAATGTTTCAAATGCGGCGATCCATCACATCTAGCCAGAGAATGTAGACAGCCAATAAAATGTTACAAGTGTGCTCAACCAGGGCATAAGGCAGCTAACTGTTCAGGATCGCGTGCAGTGGAGAAGAAAGAAGGCCAAAATGCGAACACGATGATAAACAAGGCCAACAGTAGTGGAAAATGCATTTTTAAGGAGTTGTCTTGTAAGAACATATGCTTCTCTGCATTAATCGATACAGGCTGTGACCTCTGTCTGATACGCGATGATATCCTTAAAGAGCTAGGAAAAGTTGAACTGAATAATGAAAAACAGTGTCTTGTTGGTATCTGTAATAGTGAGCTAAATACACTGGGAAGCTTTGTCACTCAAGTCGAAGTTGATGGTATCTTACTGGATATAACCTTTCATGTTACGAGCAGAGACGACATCCAATACTCAGCTGTAATAGGAAACAGCGTATTGAAGCAAGCGGACTTAATAGTATCGGAAAATTTCGTAGAATTTCGACCCAAAGTGAAGGACAATGCAAACGAGAGAGTAATTGACAAGACATCAACAATAACAGAAGATACTGTCGAAAATAAGAAGCCAGACATAGAGCTTTTACAAGAATTCAAAGATGTATGTTTTTTTGCAGAAAATCAGGAGGCTGAGATCGATCTACATCACTTAGAAAAACCTGTTGCAGACGCAGTTCAAGCAATAATTAAAAACTATTCACCTGAAATGAAGAAGAAATGTCCAATTGAAATGAAAATTTTGTTAAATGATGAGCGTCCAGTTTTCGAACGCCCAAGGCGCATATCACATGCGGACAAGTCTATTGTCGATTCGCAAATCAAAACTTGGCTAGAAGAAAAGATCATACAGCCAAGTACATCGGAGTATGCATCTCCTGTTGTCCTCGTTCCGAAAAAAGATGGTACCAAAAGATTGTGCTGTGACTACAGGCGTTTAAACGAAAAGATCGCGAGGGACAATTTTCCAATGCCCTTAATAGACGATGTGATTGAGAGATTGCAGGGCCAAAGTGTGTTTACTACACTTGATCTCGCAAACGGATTTTTTCATGTTCCAATTGAGCCAAATTCGAGAAAATTTACATCATTTGTAACAAGTGCAGGGCAATATGAATTCCTGTTCGTCCCTTTTGGAATATCGAACTCCCCAGCTGTATTTTCCAGATTCATTCATGCAATTCTTGTAGATCTGGTACAGGATGGTACAGTCGTAACTTATATGGATGATCTTATAATTCCCTCCAAGGATATAGATGAAGGTATCCAAAAGTTAAAGCGCGTACTGGACAGAGCAGCAGAGTTTAACTTGCGTATTAAGTGGAGCAAGTGCCAGTTTCTCATGAAGGAAGTTGACTTTTTAGGGTACGTTATACAGGGAGGCACAATAAGACCATCTGCAAGAAAAACCCAGGCAGTTCAAAATTTTCCTATACCGCATGACCGAAAGAGTTTGCAGCGTTTTCTCGGATTAACATCGTACTTTAGGCGCTTTGTAGAAGACTATGCGCTGATAGCCAAACCGCTCTCCGATTTGTTACGGAAAGACGTGCAATTTAAAGTTGATGAAGAACAACTAGTCGCATTCAGGCAATTAAAATCAGCATTAGTTAGTACTCCAGTATTGCGATTATATAATCCGAAAGCCAAGACTGAAGTGCATACGGACGCCTCAATGAATGGTTATGGTGGTGTACTCTTGCAAAAAGACTCGGACGATCAATTGTTGCATCCAATTCAATATTTAAGTCGGAAAACAAAACCCTCAGAAGAGAAGTATCATTCTTATGAGCTTGAGGTGCTGGCTATAGTCGAGGCCTTGAAAAAGTGGCGCGTTTACTTACTTGGCATAAAATTTAAGATTGTGACCGACTGTAACGCTTTCGCTTTGACCATGAAAAAACGTGGAGATATTCCATTGAGAGTCTCGCGTTGGGCACTCTTCCTTCAAGATTTTGACTACAGTATTGAGCATCGAAATGGCAGCAAAATGAGGCATGTTGATGCTTTAAGCCGCGTATCCTGTCTTATGCTTGAAGACTCACTGCAGCACAGATTGCAGCAAGCACAAGCGAGAGATGATTGGGTCCGAGCGGTGCTAACTGTTTTGGATTGTAGCACATACGAAGATTTTTATGTTAGGCATGGTATTTTATACAAGGATCCCATCAAGGAACTTATAGTAGTACCATCGCTGATGGAAGACGAAATCATAAGAATTGCACACAAGCAAGGGCATTTCTCAGCGAAACGAACTCAAGAAGCAATCGAGAAGACATTCTATATTCCGCAGCCATCGTCAAAAGTGCCAAAAATTGTAAAAAGTTGCGTAGAATGCATAATATCTGAGAGCAAATCAGGCAAGAAAGAAGGGTTTTTGGCACCAATTGACAAAGAAGACAAGCCCTTAGGCACGTACCATGTGGATCATGTCGGTCCAATAGAACAGACAAGTAAAAACTATAACTATATTCTAGTGATAGTCGATGCGTTTTCAAAATTTGTTTGGCTCTATCCAACAAAAAATACCACCGCAGAAGGAGTTGTAGATCGACTAAGACGGCAGGCAGCAGTGTTTGGAAATCCTAAGCGCATAATATCAGATAGGGGTGCAGCTTTCGTTTCAAACCTGTTCAAGGAGTACTGTGAAACAGAAGGTATACAGCATCTTACGATAGCTACAGGAGTTCCAAGAGGAAACGGCCAGGTAGAACGTATACACAAAATCGTAATACCAATGTTGTCTAAACTATGTCGTGAAAATCCTTGTAGCTGGTATAAGCATATTGATATCGTTCAACAAACAATCAACAGTACGCCGCCAAGAAGCACTAAAGTTTCACCGTTTAGATTGTTGACTGGTGTGGAGATGAAACTTAAAAGAATATCGGACTTGCAAGAACTATTAGAAGAAGCTGCTATAGAGGAGCTAAGTAACGAAAGAGAAGAAGTTCGTAAAGAAGCGCGGCAAAATATAGCAAAAATACAGCAGGAAAACCGAAAATCTTTTAATAAACATCGCAAAAAAGAGTCCAATTATAAAATAAACGAACTTGTAGCCATTAAGAGAACACAGTATGGTACTGGTTTAAAATTGAAACCTAAATTCTTTGGTCCATATAAAATAGTAAAGATTCAAAACCATGGTAGATATGACGTAGAAAAGGTAGGCGACCACGAAGGTCCAGGGAAAACTACAACTGTAGCAGAATACATGAAAAAATGGGAGCCAAATGCTAATTTAACAGAAGAGTCGTCATTCGGGTCGAATGAAGAGTCAGGATGGCCGAGTGTAGGAGTTGGAAACAGAACTAGGAGTGGTCGAACTTACAATCAGTTAAATTAAACAGGCGAGTATAATGTTGGCATTATACTCATTTGGTAATATAAAATCACTTATCATATGCAACCCTGCTATGGATATTTAATCAACGATAGATTTATCGATAAAAATACAAGAAGGAGAAGCTCAGTTGTAAGCTAGAAGAGTCAATGAAAAGATGTGTTCGCTGTTGCTCGTTGTCTTTGAAATACATGTCGGAAAATGTACAATAATCATAAGTTTACGCTTGTTCACCAATTTCTCTAAATAAAATAATATGAACATAAAGAACTCAAGTGCTTGTGAAGGCCATCGAATGGTCATCCCTACATATATATATGTATATATATAAATTTATACATGTGTTTGTATATAAAGATGGCTAGCTGGCCATTTCGTATCTTCTAGATACTTAGCGCTGGCCATAATTTTATTTATTTTATGCATGTGTATATAGTTGCGGGGCCTAGGAATAATATTTAACATTTTGTGCGCTTGCCACATTTTGGAATGTGTAATAATTTAAAAATAACATGGCGAATATGTAGCAAGCGCTACAACCGATAAATAAGTCAGCTAAAAATAGTTAGCACAAGACTATTTTATCAAAATCGAGGTACACAACAATCGTATGCTCAAATAAATTGGTAAATACACTTTTGTGATAGTATCCAACATTTATCGAAAACTTATGGCACACCTGTCCCACGTTTCCGGCTCATTGCCCATCGTTTTACAGTTGCACTGAGGTCAGTGATGACACGGGCGCAGAAGCAGCAGCAGGAGGAGGGGCAGGAGTTGTTGTCTATCCTAAACAGAAATCACTCGCTCGCTTGATCTTCTTTGTGTTTCATGTTTCGTGCCTCGCTACAAAATTGGGTCAAAATTGTTATGATCACACAGATACACACGCACACTCGCACACACAGGCGCGCCTGCTATGCAGTTATATATAGACGAGCATCGGCTATGAGGTGTTTTCCTGCTTTATAGAGTGTTTGTGTGTGCCCATTTGACAAGTGCTTCTTTGGCCACTTTTTGCACGCCTCACTTCAACTTGCCAGCTTTCAAGCCCAACCAAGTGGCAGCAAGATCACTTGAGGGGCATTCCCGCCTGGTTGTTCTAAGTGGCGGCCAGATAGGCTCAAGTGGGCGCCGTTTGCAGCTCCCTTGTGGGTGGTAAACAGAAATTCCAACACCCAGCCCATAAATAAACATTTTTAATGCATTCAAAAGCAAACAACTCACGTTAATGCATTTTCTTTAACCACAGCCTTTTTTCCTTTTTGCCAGAGTTGTTTGCCGTTGACAACTTCTTATACAATATTCGTGCATTTGATGATTCACACACACCCACAGGCGCACAGTCAGAAGCCATTGTTTGTGTATATATATGTGTACATATCGAAGTGTATTTGACAAATCTGAGTATTTTGTTTTTATATAGAGCAGAGCAGCTACTCACATCTAAAGCCCTGTGACGTGTACGTCGTCAACAAAACTTGTGAGTCATTGCCAGAATGTGTGTATATCGCTTGGATCAGGTACTATATACACACACAACCACTCAAATATATACATGTATTTATTTTAAATATCGCCAATGTGGGTGCTGTGCGAACTTGCCAAATAACATAAGATGCAGTAGACATTTATCGTCCTAATTGAAATTTGTAAATATTACAAGCTGTGAAAAAACCTTTAAATATTAATAAATTCAATATACTATCCCATAGAATATACATTTGTACGCTTGAGTAGCCCAACAAAAATGTTTATTGCTTCGTTCCACCATCGTGTTTCATCGTGTTACCAATTTTTCATACAGTTTATAATTTAGTTTTCTTTATTATATTTCCATTAACAATTCAATTTAATATAATTTAAAGTTATTAGTTATTAGTTATTAGTTATTAGTTATTAGTTATTAGTTATTAGTTATTAGTTATTAGTTATTAGTATTAGTTATTAGTTATTAGTTAATAGTTAATAGTTAATAGTTAATAGTTAATAGTTAATAGTTAATAGTTAATAGTTAATAGTTAATAGTTAATAGTTATTAGTTATAGTTATTAGTTATTAGTTAATAGTTAATAGTTAATAGTTAATAGTTAATAGTTAATAGTTAATAGTTAATAGTTAATAGTTATTAGTTATTAGTTATTAGTTATTAGTTATTAGTTATTAGTTATTAGTTATTAGTTATTAGTTATTAGTTATTAGTTATTAGTTATTAGTTATTAGTTATTAGTTATTAGTTATTAGTTATTAGTTATTAGTTATTAGTTAGTGATTATCAATTACTTGTTATGCATATTTTAATATATATAATATTTATAAGCACAATCTATCCCAGATTATATATAATGGTTGATCTGGCAAAAAGATTTCTAGAAAAAATACATTCACATAAATATAAATGCAAATGCAAATATATTTTGTGCAATTGTTTAATAAATTTAAAACTTATCAGAGCCTATATAGCGGACTACATATCTCAAAAATCGTTTCAATTGCACATGTACCATTATAAATTATATTTTGTGCTGACACATATATTTTTTGACAACGTGATTAATCATCAAAACATATTTGCGATTGTGAACGATAAATGCAATGGGAATTTAATTAATGTCAGCGGCATGCATTTTGATTCTGTCGATTTGTATCAAATGAAAATTAGCCTAATGTGTATTTTTGTCTTATTTGCTTTTTATTTTTGTTGTTGGCAGACATCAACTTTTGCGTCATTTGGTTTTTAAATAGTCTACGATATATATTAATTTATTGAATTTGCATCAGCTAAACTTAGCTATAAGCTATATATGTGCCTGATCAGGGGTTGCACACATTAATATGCGTTTTCTGCTGCAAAATGTGGTTTATAGAAAAGGTTTATTTATTAAAGCATGTTATTTTAAGGAAATTTTCTCTCTCCTCTATATTAAACCTAAGGGGTAGGGTATTAAGTCTTCGGCTACTCTCGATTAGACACCTACATTTGGTTTATTTCATATCGAATCGTATGTGGTCTCTTTCGAGCTTTAGCTGAGGCACAAACCATTGTGTTGATTGTGACTATCACAGCGAAGGCAGCAACCCAGTGAACTTTAGCAACTGACACATAGATGTCGCTTTCGCATGTCAAACGATATTGTTTTTGCCAATAAAAAAGATTTACACCAGAATTAGCACATCAACTGCAAACTTATGTTAAAACTCTTCTAATTTTAATACAAATAACAAAACAATTAAGAAATAAATTGATGTCAACTCAACAGGAACTCAATCAGGTTGGTCAGACGCCGCATGCTGACATAGTTGACCAGCACCACATACGCGTAGCAGGTGTAGATATATGCCCACCATTGAAAGTGCAGCGGATCCTTTGCCCAACGACTGCTGGGGCCGCCCAGTCCGGCCAGTCCGTTCGGCTGCAGGACATGGGCGTGATGCCGTTCGGTGAGCAGGCGGCGAAACACGGCGCCGCTCAGGTAGACAACGCTCAGCAGCAGAATGAGGCGACGCAGATGCACCAGCAGCAGCGCCATTGCCTTGCCACCAACTCTGTTGGATATATGTAGAGGCACATTTGTAATTATGCAAATATTAACATACAAATTTTGAGCATATTTCACTCTATACGCTTATTTAGTTTTGCACTTTTTTATCTGGCACGCACTTTTCGACACTTTACTCGACCTGCCCAGCTGAATTGGCGTGAAGCTCGCAATTTTATTTTTAATTTTCGCCGTTTTCGTTTCTTTTGTCATTTTGTTTTCGTCGCATTTTTCGTGTGTCTCGAAGTTTTCAGCTGGCAACACTTGCAAATTACATCAAATTTCTTTAAAAGTTTTCCCATCGAGCTTTTGGCGGCATTTCTTATACCCTACTAGTTAATTAATGCGGGTATATACGCAGCACTTTCTGCAAATATTTACACAACTGTGTAAATCTTTTAGTGCCAGAACTTGATAATAAATTCCAAACGCGAATCCATGTCAGGCAGCCACTTGAGGGACGTGGCTCTAAGAATAACAAAAATTGGGCTCTTCAAATGCCTTTCAGCGACCTGCGATTACGCCCATAAAAAAAAAAAAAGAAAAGAAAAACTATATAAAAATTCGACGAGCGACTACGTTGCGTATACTTAATGCGTATGCGCAATACTTGAGACGCGGCACTTCAGCGCACAGCTCCAGCCGAGGATAACCTTGAATAGATCCACAAAGCATACACAAACGAAGGCGTCGAATATTGCAACATGGAACGTGAGGTTGGTTAAGAACAATATTTAAATTAAATATTGGCACACAATGGCCAAATGCCATGAAAGATGAAAACGCGTGGAAAATGTTGCAACGCCCAAAAATGTAAACTCACAACATGTTTAGCCAAAAACTTATCCAGACCTATGTAAAAAAAAAAAAAACAACAACAAAAAACTATTAACTGCAGCTCTCGATTTTGTTTATTATTTTTAGCAGTGACATGGATAAATGGAACAATCGAGACACAACGTTTTATTGTCTAAAAGCCAGAGATTTTCTCGCTCTGCTCAACCAAAATGTGGCAAGACGAGGACAACTTAAATTAAGACAAGAAAAGACTTGTTGGGTTTTTTTGTGTACATATTGAAAACAAATTATATATATTTCTGATTAGGAGGTTACATTAAAGTATGTCGTACGCAGAAGTAACTGTGTCTGCTTTTTAAATAAGTGAATTTAACAGTCTTTTCCGAATGTTTCTTATCCAGGCATTAATAAATATATATTTTCTTTATGTTTATCTCTCAAAGTATTCGTCTTTTTTCCTCCTCTTATCTTAAATTCATTATATTTAAAACTTTCAACTGAAATCTGACTATGTATATGGACAAACACAAACACAAACTCGAACCTCGAAACTTTGCAGGCGACAATTTGTATATAAACAGTTAAGCAGAGTATTTACTTGTGGCATCCTCCACCCTAAAGGGACCTTTAAGATGATGTTGTGACATTTTATTTAGATGGCTTCGCATGCCCAGAAATTTAATTGTTTTTTATGGGCACGCAAACAAATCGCGTCGATGCCAGCCACTCTCCCCTCTATTAATTTTATTAACTAGTGTTTGCGTCTTTTGATTGCATAATCTGTTGGTGCTGGCAGAGGCCAGACATAAATTACAAATTCAAAATCGTAGAAATGATTGAAAGGCCCGCGCGCCTGCCGGCTCCCAGTTTTTCCCAGTGGCTCCCTTCCAGTTTGGCTGCCTATGATTGACCGCGTTGTGCACCTCGCTGCCGGAATGGCCCACTGGCTGCTCCCGGGGATTGCCGGGTCTGACTTTTATGGCTGTCGGTGTATTTTTTATGGCCTGCCCAAATTCATTTCTCGTTTTGAGGCAAACGCTTTTGTGTGTGTGTGTGTGTGTTTTTTTTTTTACTCTCGATTTGTTTGCATTTATTTCTGGGGCGGCTGCGTTGGCGTTGTCGTTGTTTTTGTTGCTGCTGCTGTTGTTGTTGTTGTTGTTGTTGGCGTCTCTCACGCACTGGGAAAATATTTGTGGAAAGCATGCAAAATGCACGCCTGCTGCGGCTCTTTTATTTTCCGAATGCAACCGTTGAAAGCTATTTGTATCTGTCGGTCAGATTAGGTTAAGTTTCCGCCCCTCCCCCCTGCCACTGGGCCCGGCGTCAGCGGGCGAGGCATCCATGGCAACCACTGCATGTCTTTCGTCAAAGTGTCGAGCCACTTGGCTTTGCCCCAGCGGCTACCCCGTTGCCCAGCTCCCTTTCATTTCCACTTACAGACTATTAGCTATTGATGCTCGCTTGGATTTTCAGCCTTTTCCACCGATTTTCTCTGACAATTTAGCGTCTTTGTCGCGCATTCTGATTTATGTGCAAGCCGAGAATTTGCTTTTTACAGCTGTAGATATCGGCCGTGCGGGCCTTTTGGCACATATTTAGATATTTAGCTTAAATGCTCACACTAAAATATAAAACCAAATACTAGCACGTTCCCCAAAACCGAGCCGTGCTGTGCGCCATGTGCAGGCCGAAAGGCATCTTTGTTTCTGATATACCGAATATCAGAATTTTTGAATGGACGTCATCTTAGCTAGCCGCACGTTTCCGGTGTGCGTTCTGTGTGTGTGTGGATCCCCCCCTTCCTCCTCGCTCTCTGTGTAGTTTCTGGCCGGCAAAAGTGGCACACAGATCTTTATTTTTAAATGCAGAACAAATATCAGTGCACAGAGATGCGATTATATGTGTCGCTTCTGCTCATAAGATATGCACGATATTCACAGCAAATATGTGTGATAAATTAATGAACACTTGCAGCTCCGAAAGGGGAAAGCTTACACCAAGATATATATGTATATACAAATGTGGCTAACAAAAGCTGTTGATGGGCACAAGAGTCTATAGGAAATACAAATTTAGTTGAATAAATATGCTGTAAATTATAAGAGTTTCAAATTCTCGGGGAAATCGAAGCTTTGGCTAATATGCAAAAAATGTAAACTAGGTTTTTATCATGGCTTAAAAGAAAATGAAAAACAAATGCTAAAAAGCCTCAAGTTTAAAACACACAAATATATCAAGCGAATGATGACGCAGAGTTTATAAAAAATATAAATAAAATAAAAATTGAGCTGATTGGGCTTAATAAAGGCTAGGTCCATGAAAATAAATCAACAATATAGGATAAACAAATGCAGTGGAGGGGAGAAGAGTTCATGAATAATTAGAACTTTGTTCACAAAAAAAAAAAAAAAACTTGGAAGGGTGACTTACTTAATATATATAAAATATGAATATATTAAACAAATGCAGCGAAGTTTTTAATGGAGCAAATGGTTTATATAAAACTAAATGAGCTATGGATTCCCTGGAATTTGAATTCTTGGTTTTGTCTACAATACAAAAAACTTGAACTAATCATATTTCACGACTTTAAATCCCCGCAAAAATGAGTTCACGGTTCGAAGCAAAGCCGAGTTCGTAAACCCTTTTCAAATCCAAATATATGGTTCGGGTCGGATTTAGTTTTCTTCTTTTTTTTTTCAATTAATGCGATTTAATATGTGTTCGAAATGCATTCATAGAAAATGCGACAATATTTGCTGGGCAAGGTATTTGAGCTAATTAGAATACGCCTGCATGCATGCTTCAAATTAAGCCAAATACCCTTCCCAATTTTCCAGCAGCTGTTGTCGCATATTCTATATTCTGTTCAGCGCAGCGATACGTTGATTACTCACGATTTCAAATATATATAATATTTGGCTAAATAAAAACAAATTTATTAAATGATGCAGCTAATTTTAGACATATTTTGATGCTTATAAAATTCGAAATAAATGCAAAATGATTTTCATTTATTTACTGACTACGTGAATAATAATTTTATACAATTTTACAGTTGTCGAAATAAAACACTTTCGAGTTGAGATAATAATGGTCACGATTTTTGCCAGATATATGCGTGGCTATATACTAAATTTATTGTTGTTGTGGTTGTTGCCATTGTTATATTTATTTATTTCATTATTGCAATTTCCAAACGCAACGAGCCGAACGCGCGAGCAGAGAGAGCCGCCAAGCAAAAGGCTGAGCGCGAACGGGCAACGGGCCGATCTCTCGCCCCAAAAATATATACACGCACAAAAACTCACGAAAAATTTGTTGCTGTTGTTCAGTCGTGCTCGCCGGGAAAAATCTCAGCACAAGATTTTCCACATCGCGGCAGTTTTCCTTTGACAACGCGCCGAGTCGCACGAGATATATTGAAACGCGGCGCGACGATCTGTTTGCGACAAAAAAAAATATATTGGTGCTGGTCTTTTGCTAAATTTAAATTTAAAAATAAATAGCAACGGTTTTTCATGAAATCGGAAAAAACGCAACGCAGATGAAAAGCCAGAAGACGTATAAAAAAATAAAATCGGGAGCGACAGGCACAAAATATCAACGCATAAATAAAACGGCCCCGTGACGTGTCGCATTTGCCTCAGACTCTCCGTCTCTCTCTGTCTTTCTCTCTCTCTCTCTCTCTCTCTCTGCCGGCTGCATTCTCAGTGCTCCTTGGATTTAGCTGGTGCAGCTTCTCCACCGGCGGATTATGTAAAGTGGCACAAGCCACGGGCCCAGGCAAAAAATACGCACGGAAATTTTGTTGTTGTTTTCGGTGAGAATTCGTTTGCGTGAAATCAAAGTGCCAATGTGCAAATGTAACCAAATGAATGTGTATCTCATGCTGCGCCGTTTGTATCTCAGTCTTTGTCGCCAGTAAATGTATCTAATTTATTTTGCATCTATTGCAATTGAGCGGCCACCGTGGCAGCCAGTGGATGCATCCGCAAGATACGACAAAGTTGTCTAATTGCCGTCAGCAGTTAATTTGTCGCCTGTGTATGTGTGTGTGTGTGTATCTGTGTGTGTATCGAATTACAAGCGAAATTGCAAATATTCAAATGCAAATTGTTGCCGCTTCAAGTGAAACACAAGGCATATTGAAAATGTCAGGAATTGTTGCTGCTGAAAAATAAATAAAAAATAAAACAAAAATACAAATAAAAAAGAAAGTGAAAAAGAACCAAAATAAAACGCAATTGCGGCCAAAAGCATTTGCCAAAATAACGTAATCAACATGTCATCCTATCGCAGTTATGTAAGTAAACGCTTTGCAGCGCCAAGTATCTGCAACTCTTTAGCCGTATCTCTGTATCTATGTATCTGTATCTGCTGCCTTTGTAGTTATTGTATCTATTGCTGTGTATCTAAATTGTTTCGACAGTTTGCGTTTTGCAATTTGCTATTTTGTTTGCTTCTAATTGCTGCTGCTGCTGCTGCGGCCAATTTATTTAGTATCTAGTTTGCGTCGCTTTTCACAGCACACACACCCACACACACACACACACCCACCCGTTCACACACATGCAAAAGAAAAATTACGTTTACGTATGCAAAATACTCGCATTATGTATTGTATCTATGAATTTGATTTTTCCTTTAGGCTCTTTTGTTTTTGCCAACTTTTGTTCAGAGTTCAAGCGTGTTAATGGCCCAGTTCCATTGTTAAACAATTCCCCAAATGCTCAACAACTTTCTGCAGCGCTTTTCGTAATTGATTTTCAGTTTCTGTTTTCAGTCTGTCAGACAATTATTTTGAATTTCATTCATAGTTGGTTTAAGTGCTTAGAAAACTATTTTAAATGTTTCAAAGAATCGACGATACATTAAATGAGACGTCTTATGATTTATGACTACATGTGCTGGCAAAGGTAATTGTTGGCTTAGATAAGTACGTAGCACAGATAGATTAATGAGATGTTCTTATCTAAAAGAACATGTACATATTAAACATTTATTAACTGTGGTTAGTGTAAAAGAGAGCTCTTTGAAAGCCTGTAAGACATAATCTTCTAATCTGTATATGTTTAGTATATATATGAGTTATAGCAAAAATTATTTTCTAAATTTTATAAGGCAGTTCAGCAAACGACCCAAAAAAAATTAGTCGCTGGTTCAGTTGACGTTTCAAATGAACTGCCAGCCATCAGTTTCGCTTTGTGAATTTAATCTTAGAAATTCTTAAATCCTTTCTGTCATATATCTTCATAATTTTAATGAAACATTTTAATTATTAATAAATATTTGCCCATTCTACTGAAAATATGGCAATGCGTACATATTTTCATAAAGAAATTACGGGCTACATTTGACATCTAACCAACTTTGACATCTGTCAAATATGGTTAGATAAATGCCAGGCTTGGGAACTTGGGCCAAGTTCTTTATGCTTCTTGTTCTTCTATGTTTCTCTCAAACCATTTTTGATGACAAGATATTATTCGTTTTTAGGGAATGTTAAAAATAATACGGAATTCAGAGCTCTAAGCTATGTAGAAAAATGTTTAAAAAACTTTTAAACCAGTTTTCAATTACTAAAAGGCATGTGTTAAACATATAAAAATGGCTTCAAATATTAATTAATAATTTTGTCATTATTTTATTTATTATAATTTTCTTTATCATTATTGTCAATGTCAGAATATGGTGAAACTAATTATAAAGCAAATGTTAAAAATAATACGGAATTCAGAGCTCTAAGCTATGTAGAAAAATGTTGAAAAAACTTTTTAACCAGTTTTCAATTAGGAAAAGGCATGTGTTAAACATATAAAAATGGCTTCAAATATCAATTAATAATTTTGTCATTATTTTTATTATTTTCTTTATCATTATTGTCAATGTCAGAATATGGTGAAACTAATTATAAAGCAATTCGACTAACTATAGAATATTTTGATGCTCTGCCTAGTCTATCAACTCTTTGAACTGACATACATATATCATGTCACGTTCAGATTATCCTTTCTTTAGCGAACGTGTCTACGTTCTCGACTTTATGTGACCTTTTGGCGCTCGCTAAACTCTGGAGCTATAAATCAATTAAAGATTGCACCCAAACCGATCAATTGATGCGTTCAACAAGTTTCCACTTTGGGCTGCCTCAAAGTGTTCTGCCCAGATTGAAGGCGATGTTTATTTTTAGGCATTTCCACATCTAAAAATGTTCGAAAAAGGGAAAAAAGTGAAATTTTTTATTATTGTGTCGCTTGTAAGTTTGTCTTCTGTGTGCTGGCATTCTGATTCCTGCTGCTGTTGTCGTTTTATGGCCAGAAGGAAGTTGTAAATGTTTATGGGATGGCATAAAGTAGGCAGTTGCAGGGCGAGGAGATGGAGTAGTTGGAGCAGGCGAAGCACGCATCACCTAATTAATTAACAAAGTGTGAATATTCTCATACAAATTGTTGTACACGAATTTAATGGGAAAGGGCGGGGGAGGCTGTGTGACAGTTAACAGTTGTTTCTCAAAGCTATTTGAAAGTCGGATTTCAGTACACAACATGCCCAGACGTCGACGACCCCGTTGCAAGGTGAAACCGTTGATAACGCTGCGCGATGATGCCGGCGACAGCGAGGCAAGTCAGGAGGAGCAAATCGAGAGCAAAAGCGACGAGGTGGATGTGCCCACAGAGAACCACGATGTGGCGCCCAGTGTGCCGACCCATGACTGGGAGTACAGACTCTTTCCGGAGCTGCACAATCAGCTGCCCTGTCTGCCCACCTTTGCCGATATCTTTGGCCAGCATTCGGACGTCATCTTTCAGGAGAATATGCCGGCGGCTGCCCTGCCGGAACCGGAGCCGGAACCGGTCAGCAGCCGGAGCAGCATGCCGGATCAGCTAAACCTATCGACCGCATTGTTGCCAGATCTTTTCGGCCTGAGCGGACTCGTTGCCAACCTGCGCGCCACACGCTGCAATGCAAACGCCGTTCAATTGGTCACCGGCGAGGATCTGACCACATTTGGACTGGACCTGGCCAGCCAGGGTGACATCTATGTACATTTCAATGGACCATTTACACAGCAGCCAGCTGGTCGCAGCTCGGCCAACTGCGCCTTAGAGCTGGGCATGCGCGGCATGCGCGATGCCATGGACAAGTATCCCACAAAGCCGCCCGTTTGGGAACCTTTTGTGCCCGATACCAGAAATCTGGGCCTGGTGCTTCCTTTGCCGAAGTTGTCGCAGCCGTCACACGATAAATCTGCCTAGTTTGATGTCAACCTTTGGCAACCTTTCAAATTGCTGTTCTTTTGTTTTGGTTTATTGTCAAACATCAGCAAATATTTCGCCCATCAATTAAACACACATCTATAAACTGTTTCAATATAATACAAAAACTAACAGAGCTGATACTATGACGAAACTAAAACAATCCAAGAACTGAGTGCAATAGAAGAATTTTAATTTTTTCCTACGGGCCTTATACTCTATTTAGCTTGTTTAGGTTCCACCACAACACAAGAGACACGTTTTCTTTTCTGTTTGGCATTTGTTGTTTCTTGTTCTTTTCTTTTTTTTTTTTGCGAATTATAAAATGTATCTTATCTTGAAATTAAACTATTGCAATTCCTTTTTACAAAATACCCAATAAATAAAGTAATTTATAGTCTGTTTCCTGTGTACTTTCATCGAGCCTCCGAATGCGGTTTTTCGAGTGTCCGGAATTAAGACTTACAAATTTTCAAACTTATCTATGTGTTTACCGAATTTTTGTAGACTTTGAAACTGTTTAATTTTTAGTAAAAACTCATTGTATATACGATCTGAACAACTTCTATATATTCTACCTTTTATGCCTTGCCAGATATTTGCTTGAATTGTTAAAGTTGATTTGCAAAAATTGAAATTAAATAAAAGCTTTAAGCCATTTTTCTCAAAGAAAATAGATAAACGATAGTCTTTGATGTCTGATGCATATTCTCAACTTATCTGTTAATACAGGGTATCTGCTAGCTTAGCCTGTTAAAGCTCATTCTTTTATTAGTTGCTGCGGCAGCGTTTATTCAACTTTTCATAGCCTTTTTATGCTGCAGCATTGTGTAAATTTATATTCCGCTCGCATTTGACTATATTGCAGATATACTCAGATGTACATCAGATATATATATACATATGCATATATATATTTTTGACACAACGACACCAAAAACTAAAAATAATCTTAGAAGAAAATAAAGAAAAATAAATCATTTTGTCTGTGCGGCGGCACGCGAATGTTTTTCGAGTAATTTGATTTTGTTGGCCAGCTCAACATGTTGGCTGGTCGTATGCCACATTTGCGGCACTTGCCACATTTGCTGCATTTGCTAAATGCATTTGAACATTTGCCCCGATCTGCGTTTTATAGACATTATGCACTGACAGATAGGGCCCGTTTTATAGCGTCCATTGTACTGGGCTCGTTTGCCATCCTGAGCAGGGGCAGCGCCTAATTGAGTCCACATAATAACGCTGTCAAGAGTGGGGTATAGAGATAGATGCCACTCTGTGGAGTGGCAACGAACATACACATGCCACATGCCACATGGCAATCTTCATCTCTGCCCAGCATCATCTTCTGCCACTTTCCTTGGCTGTACGCTTGCTTGTTTTGCACATTGTTTTGCGATATATTTGCGTTTGGCATTCCATTTCAACAACAACAACAGCGAAAACAATTAACTGGGCGCGTACCGCCTTCCTGGGCATCCCCCCTTTGCCACTCAAGACGCTGGGCGGGCGGTACTTAGGCGCTCAAGCAATATGCATTTTTTATGGCACATGTCATTCGTTTGGCGTGGGCCGCTTGGCGCCAGCGTTGAGCCCCAGGGACAGGGCTATCGGCTGCGGAGGCGGGAGGCGGGGTCGACAGTTCAGTAATCAACGCAGCTGGAATTTCTTGCACGATTCACATTCGAGTATTCGGAAATTCATTCAGGTAAATCGTTGATTTTTATAGCCACTTTCAGCGCTTTAACTGTGACTTCATTCGGCACTCAGATTTTCATTGGAATTTTCATAGATATTTTCCGGGCATTTCTTGGCCTTTTAATGGCTTCATTCCAGCCGAAACTGAAATATTATTATTACTACTATAACCATTCTCATTAGAGGCACAAAAAGTTACTATTACTATTAATAATTGTATTCATACTATTTTTATTATTGCTATTATTATTATCATTAGTATTACTATTATAAGTGTGAGAAGCATTCATACTTATTATTGATTTATAAATTCTTGTATTCCTATGATTGTTATTATTTTGATCTATTTTCATTAATATAGAATTATCATTGCTATTATCATTACCAATATTATTAGTTGTATTAGACATGATTTATTCAAACTTTTGTTGCCAAATTCTATAAAAAGCTGACATGAATTCGGCAATATTTATGTCTGTCTGTCTGGCTGATCCAAGTGATATGCATAGATCCTCTGCTCTCTGTCTCTGGGCATAAAGGGACGTAGGTGCTAGGGGCCAGATTTTCTAATGCGCGGCGCGCCCAAGATTAGAAGGCAGATGTTGAAATAATCGAAATGAATCTGTTTACACGTCCAAATTAATTGAAAAAACGCGTGCTACAGCGCCATTTAATTGAAAATGAAATTGAAATAATGTGAAAGAGATGGCAATGCCATGCCCCAGGCGAGTTCAAAGCGAGCCAAAACCGCCTGTTGGCGCCCCTCTGTGTTCCCCCTCTAAGGTTGGTATGGAGAGTGCGGTGCTTTTTCTGGTCGATGGCGTTGATGTGTCTGCGGTGCTGCACCTGCCCCTTGCTCTGCCCCGTTGAAGATGATAAAATGTGCGCGAATAATTGTCGAACGCATCAACGCTCAATGAAATTCTCCGATTCTTAGCATATGCAATCGAGAAGGCACGCTTGAGTGCGCCAATCAATCAATTCCAGTTTGAATTGCTCATCGATTTCCTCTTTGTTCTGCTGGAGTTAAAGTTCTCTGCATAGTGTAAAGGAAATTCATTTTAATTAGAGCAAAACTTATTTTATCAATGGGGGTAGTCTTGTGTTAAGCACTTTGTACTTGCAAACTTATTTGAACTCTCAAGGAAAACAACCTTCGTTTCATTTTCACTTTCTTCCCCTACGTTGTTTAATCTTATTCTTTCCTTCACTCTCGTTCTCTTTGCCTATCTGCTTAGGGGTCCATCTCTCTCTTTATCTATCTAACATTCTCTTACTTGTTCTTTCTGTCTATATATTTCTCTACCTTCACTATCTTTTACATTGTCTTTCAATTAGCCACTTCGTTTCCATTTGCTCTGTCTCTCTTTCTCTCACTCTCTCTTCTTCTCTTACCTTTCCTCTTGGTATCCCTCACTGTCTCCTATCCCATAATTTTTCACTCTGTCGCTTTCTTTCTCTTACTTCAGCTGTTTTCTCTCTCTCTCTCTCTCTCTCATTTTTACATGCTCTCTGTTTCAATACTCTCCACTCGCTCTCGCTGTCCCTCTTTCAAATACCGCCTTTCTTTGTGATTTTCATAATTTCAAGTACGGTTTACAGATATCAATGCAATATATATTTTGGTTTGAAATATTATTTAATAATTTATTCTTACGTTGCAGACACCCTGGAAATCGAACCTGGGCAGTTCTTACAAGCCGGCCAGCTCAACAGTAAGTAGCATTTCTTTCGATTTCTTGAGCTATTTCCAACTGATCTCAATCTTTACTTTCAGTATACACTGGGCTCCGATATTGGCAGCGGCTCCAGCTCTCGCTATAGTTCACTGGCCACGCCAAGCTCCTACAGGCCCTCGTTTTCGGGTGGCACATACCGCATCAAGCGCGATCCTCCCGCACCAGCGCCCGCCGTTACCAGCTACGTGAGTCGCTACGGCTGCGCTGCCAAGACAGATGCCACCAAGGACGCCAACGCCAGTGCCAGTGACCGGAGCAGCCCCATCAAGCGTTACACGAGCGCCAGCAGTAAACTGAGCAAATATGGAAGATCACGGGATCCCAGTCCGGTGGCGCTGGAGCACACGAATCGTGGCAAGTCCAAGTCGCGAGATCCCAGTCCAGTGTTGGACAGCGCGAGGAGCAAACTGGGCAGCGCGGCATATCGCAGCAGTGCCTCAAGAAACGGCTACAACAGTCGCTATGCGCCAGCTGCACGACTCAATGGCACCAGCACCCCATTGGACAAGTCCATATCCTATCTGACCACAAGCGATTTTCATGCGAGGACCGCAAGTCGCGCCAAGGCCAGCAGGGAGAAGGAGCTGGAGGTCATAGAGCAGCCAGCGGAGTTGACCGCGAAGTCGGCCAAAGAGCCATCGACGGAGGATGCGCTAAGCACCAAAGAGCAGAAGGAGCAGCAGCAGCAGCAGCCGGAGGAGGAGCCCCCTCCGCCATTGGAAACCTTTGTCTCTGTGCTGGTGGTCACACGCGCCACTTCACCCACCCCGCCGGGCAGCACCACCGTGCAGCGTACACGCCGCATTGACATAGCCAAAACGATTGAGAAGACCATACAGCGCTCGACGAAGCCGCGCCAGATGCTGGAGAAGGAGATCCAGTCGGATCGCCTGGACGACTCTACGCGCTACCTGCGCTACAGCGCCGGCAGCAGCAGCATCAGCTCCAATTACAGCACGCACAGGGATCGCATCAGCAGCTTGCGCTACAGCGCCAGTCCGCAGGCGAGCAGCTCACCCAAATCCGGCACACCGAGCGTGGAAGCGTGCAAGCCGCAGCCCACGGAGTCGGCGTCGCCCAAGAGCAATGCCAGCGTGAGCTTGGCCAGCTCCAAGTCCAGCAGCAAGTCCAAGCTGTCGCCGCCCAAGGCGTTGCGCCTGAACTCGCGGCAATCCTCGGTGGAGAATCTGGTGAATAAGCCGCCGGCTGCGCCTAGCAAGGTGGAGTCGCCCACCAAAAACGGCGGCAGCAGCAGCAGCAGCAGCCAGAACAACTCGAGCAGCGCCCTAGCCAAGTGGCCTTGGCCCAACAAGGACTTCCGCAAGAGCTCACTCAACGTGGGCCCCACGGATCGGCCACGCAAATCTCGCACGCCCAGCAGCGGTGGCGAGTCCGAGGAGCCGGCAGCTGGCGGCGGCACGCAGCTGGAACGCTCGCCCAGCGCGGGCTCCGAAGGTAGCCTAATCTCCGCAAGCAGCGCACGCAAGGCGTCAGCCAAGCAGACAAATGGCAAGACGGCAACCGGCACAAAGATGAAGGCGCACAAATCATGCGCGCCCAGCAGCGTGAGTGGGAGTGGCAGCACGAGCGGGAGCACGAGTGGAAGCAGTGCCAGCTGCACGACCACCTCCGCCTGCTCCTCCTCGGACAGCGAGGCGGTGCGCGGCAAGACGTCGGCCAAAAAGCAGAGCAAGAAAAAGACGCCGTCAACTGGCAGCCAGCAGAAGGGCAAAGAGAAGCAGAGGGAAATAGAGCGCGAGCGGGCGGGGCAGCCAGAGAAAGAAGCAAAGCAGCAAACAGGTGAGGGCAGCGATTCGGCTGCCAAACAATTAACAATGGGACACCAAAATAGCCACAAATCTGCCACTGACTCACGCTCCGGCGAGGCGGTCGGCGGGACGCAGTCGCGTCTGCAGAAGCTCTCGGGCGTATCGA